TTGACGTGAGTATGTTGATACTGCTTCAATGTCTTACTGATTGATGGGATGCAGGACGTATGATGAATACATGTCTGAGCTGGCATCTGGTCATCTGTCGTGGACACCAGTACACGAGTCGGATGCTTTCTGGCGGGAAAATGCATCCAGATTGAATGATAGAGACTATGAGCAATTGAAGTAATGGCAACCTCATATATCAATTACTCGATCACTAATCCTTACTCCAGGACCCTCATTGCACTACTAGGCTCCGACGACCCCGTAGTTCTGGCGGTTGCAGTTCACGATCTTGGACAGTATGTCAAGCATTATGAACGAGGAAAGAAGTAAGCAAGGTTATACGACCTTGAACATTACGTCGGTCTAATTGTTTCCACAGAATAATTACAGACTTGGGAGGCAAAGCCCGCGCAATGGAGCTCATGACCCATCCGGATCCAGATGTGCGCTATCATGCCTTGTTATCAGTGCAGGAGCTCGTCAGCCACCCTTGGTCAGCGGTATAGTTTGGACATCGATACTGTCTACATCATGATAATATCAACACGCGTACTACCACCGTCGTGTTGTATGCTGCGACAACCGTTGTATCTCATTCTACATTCTGCGTCTCCCATTCGTACGTGATAACGTCAATATTCCTCTTTTCGTCCGCAATGTCGGCGTGTTCGTTCTGCGTGAAAAGGAAGATTTGATGCGTTCATTGCAGTTCTCGACAAAAACATCAATATTGGTAGTGTTGCAGCATGCAGTGCCTTAGTATCGTAAACCATGTGAAACATTGGTGCTCTTGTACGATTCAACCTGTCGTGAATGACGACCAAAGCCCCTATATATAGCGCATGCACGTACTGCAACACAAGCAAAGCAGGGTTTGTCAAGGGCAAGTCTTCTTTTAAGTCGACTATTTGGACAAACTAATACATACATCATTTAACTGGTATGCTGCCATCCAGCGCTTGCATTACCGAAGCAAGGATATCCGACTGGCTGAAGTAAAGTATTTCAGCATGAATTCAAGTAGAAAGGGAAATTCGTTCAGGGGCCTTGCCTTGATTGGAACAGTATGAAGCGAATCTTCTAAGGCAAGTCTGTGGAAGGTGATGTGCATGAGGAGGTGTGTGGGAGGGTGGCGCAGGTCGAATGGGAGGTATTCAGGAGGTATTATAGAAGGTACGGGGTGAACACGAAGGTACGAGGTCTTAAAAGATGGTGGAAAGAGACTACGGTCTAATGAAAACTCATTGAATTAGAGGCATGCAAGACGAGCCCAAGATGCACACAAGTAGGACGAACACAGAGGACAAGCACTTTAAATGTGGTGCACTCTAGGGCCTGTACACAGATTCATATGTCGAGGACTTAAAGTGTTTGGAGCAAACATGATTTGTACCCTAGACTCTGCCACAGTGCCGCATCAATTTCACCTGGCCCATCCAACAATTGCTCGATGAAGAGATCCACTCTCGAGCTCCCACGCTACCTTTTGGTGTCAAGTACCGCGCAGGCAGTAATATTAATCTCCTTTATTTGTCGCTTCTTTTTCGCTTTCATGATAACGCCAACAGCAATGGTCGGTTGTTTCGACAGCCTCTCAAACTCGAGCTTAGTGGACTACGAGCAAGACTGGGCATGGTCGATCATTTTCAGATAAATTCAAACATCCACAATACTCGAGCAGTACGAAAATTTCTCCAAGAGGAACTGTACTGATTGGCTCCGAACTAGGTATTGATAATTGCACCATCAACCATGATACCAAAGCAAAAGCAGAGACATAACCCACCGTCGCGACATGCCCATCAGGCTATCGGCTCAATTTTCATACGGCCGATACTGGCAGACTTTGGTTGTTCCGGAACCCTAAGGTGCGCAGGTGAGTCACATGGTTGAATACTGGTCGCACAACGACCTGCTCATACTCACGTCAAGATAGACACAACGATAGCCATCGCAGCATTCGCTACTTACATGGCAAGTCGCTTCGGGATTATTACCAGGCACACATGGAGTTGCTGCATTGACAGACATGGATGCTGTCAAAGCAACGACAACAGCGAGGAAGGAGAAACGCATTTTCTGTGCGAGGTGATATGGAATCTTCTGGGGGGTGCTCGAATGAATATCACTAAGGATGGGGGACTACTGTAGGACAATGGCCAGCTTTTATATTGCATGGGTACGATTCTGATTGTTTTGGCAGAACCGTTGTTCCTGTCAGATGACACAAATTTGGACGGAACCTACAAGAATTGATTACGACCATCATGATTGTATGAAAACCCAAATTCTCACTCATCGCTTCTTCATTTGAACCTGCAGTGACCCTGCCAGCGCAGCGACAAAGTTGAGAAGTTTTTTTAATGTCCAATTTATGTCCATTGAGAGACAAATTCTATGTAGGACAGTACGTGCTAGTCTAATGGGACCCCCTGTGTCCCTGTCGCATCTCTGGAGTCACGAATGCCCTGGTATGAAGCGTACCCGCATCAGTCCGCCGTTCCCGCCGGCCGTTTTAGACGTGCCTTCCTTCGAAGATAAGATGACTTTGTGTACATGCGTGTATGTAACTTTTCTCGTGTGTGTATGTGCTAACGCGAGCTCGACCGCTAATGCGGACGTGCAGGAATTCTGTGGAGAAGGATGAGTGGGGCGCCTGATTGGCAGGAGGCCCTGTGTTCTCATGTGTGTTTTTCCTTGAGGCGAGAATTCTTGATGACGAGCAGTTGAGTGGGAGGTTGTATATGCGTGTTACATTTTTGACGTATGTGCATATCAGTTCACGAATTTTACGAGGGTATAGGTACTTCACCGAGCGTGGTTTTTAGTTTTTTCGTGTTATTTACGTATCTTGCAAGGTGGGATATGATAATGCTGTTGGTTAAAGTTGAGAAGTTGATTACTCAGTGCCCACGAACAAGACTTCTAAGGCATGGCCGATCATTTTCAGATAAATCCAGACATTCGTATTGCTCGAGCAGTATGAACATTCGTCTACAAGCAACTTTACGGATTGGCTTCGAACTAGATATTGTACCATCAACCCTGATAATACCAAAGTGAAAACGGAAACATGACTCACTGTCGCGACGTGTCTCTCGGGCTACGGGGTTGAATCCTCGCAGATCTTGCCTGATCCCGGACCCTAAGGTGCACAGGTGAGCCATGGATGCACAGCGACCTGCTCATACTCACAGCACGATAGAAACAAAAATAGCCCTCGCAGCAATCACTATCTGTCTGGCAAGTCGCTTCTGGATCATCAGCAGGCACACACGGAGTTGCTGCATTGACAGATATGGATGCTGTCAAAGCGACAACAACAGCGAGGAAAGAGAAACGCATTTTCTGTGCGAGGTGATATGGAATCTTCTGAGGGGGTTCTCGAATGATATCACTAAGGATGGGGGAGACAACGGCCAGCTTTTATATAATGCATTGGCACGATTCTGATCGATTTAGCAGAATTGTCGTTGCTGTCAGATGGCACAAATTTAGACAGAGCCTGCAAGAACCTATCCGAGTGAATACGACCTTTGTATCAAAACCCAAACTCTCACTCATCACTTCTTCATTTGAACATGCAGCGACCCTGCCAGCGCAACGACCAAGTTGATTGCTCAGTGGACCACAAGCAAAAGTAGAGACAGTCGATCATTTTCAGATAAATTCAGACAGAAACATGACTGACTGACTGTCACGACGTGCCTCTCGGGCTACGGGGTTGAATCCCCGCAGATCTTGCCTGATCCAGGACCCTAAGGTGCACAGGTGAGCATGGATGCACAGCGACCTGCTCATACTCACGCTACGATAGAAACAAAAATAGCCTTTGCAGCAATCGCTGTCTGTCTAGCAAGTCGCTTCGGGGTCATCATTGTTAGGCAGACATGGAGTTGCTGCATTGACAGACATGGATGCTGTCAAAGCGACAACAACAGCGAGGAGGGAGAAACACATTTTTAGCGAAGTGATGTGGAATCTTCTTGAAGGGGTTCTCGACTGATATCACTAAGGATGGGGGACTACTATAGGACAACGGCCAGCTTTTGTGGCACAATTCTGATTGATTTGGCTGAATTGGCATTGCTGTCAGATGACACAAATTTAGACAGAGCCTGCAAGAACCTATTCGAGTGAGTACGACCTTTGTATCAAAACCCAAACTCTCACTCATCACTTCTTCATTTGAACATGCAACGACCCTGCCAGCACAGCGACCCTGCCAGCGCAGCGACAAAGTTGAGAAGTTGATTGCTCAGTGGACCACGAGCAAGAGTAGAGATAGTCGATCATTTGTCCGAAAGCAACTGTACTGATCGCTTCGAACTAGGTATTGCACCATCAGCCTGGAGCCATGATGCCAAAACAAAAGCAGAAATGACTCATTACTGCGACGTGTCCCTCGAGCTGTCAGCGTAGAAAGCTGGTAAGGCCGAGCTGGGAGATCGCTAAATCAATTTGATGTATTTGAGACGGTAAAAATGAGCTCATTGTATACTGACGCGACTTGTAGCCGGATGGAGAATTCGCCTTCCCAGACTTTTTGGGTCTAATTAGAGTCGGTTCCGAAAGTCTTGACTCACGTGTTCAAACATAGTGAAAACGCTGAAAATTCATTGAAATCAGTTTCGAGCTCTGTAGCCTAGCCTCTGAACGGCTTCAAACACACCATCTCGCGTCTATTTCCTACTCAGACTCGCTATGGTCAACCAGAGGATCAGTCCTGTACCTGCATTTGGAGGAAGGATGGGAAATCGAGCACATATAGTTGCTCCTGGTGTATTGTCAAAAAGTATAGAGCGGTGGGAGGCAAATTATGATCTACATCGATGTATTATATTTCAGAGGCCTACAAAACTTGAAACTGATTTCAATGAATTTTCAGTATTTTCACTATGTTTGAACACGTGAGTCAAGACTCACCGTTACTATCTGCTTATATAAGCATTACATTTTGTTGGCGCCAGGCGGGCGATCATTACACTACCCAAGGCATGACGAAGGGCTCTCAGTTATCTCAGCTCAAGTCAGCGTTATGTCAAGCGGGGATCAGCAAGGCCCCACAAAACGGAAAGAAGCGCAAGCGATCAGGATCTATAGATGAAGATAAATTCAGGAAGGCACTTCACAAGAATCCCTTCGACACCAAGGTCACGAAGCTCAAACATGATATCGGCGGACGCAAGGTCAAAGGGTCCAAAGGGAAACCCGCAGAGAGAAAACAAGCGGGTATGGAACAGGTGCGCAAAATTTATTTTCTAGCAGTATCGACAGGTCTCTTACATTGCCTACAATAGCGCGAGAAGACTCTTTTAAAAGAGATCCAAGACAGGCGTCGTGTTGGCGGAGTCATCGACAAGCGCTTTGGTGAAAATGACCCGTCTATGTCTCTTGAGGAGCGCATGCTCGAGCGCTTCACGCAAGAAAGGCAACGAGCTTCCAAAGGGGCCGCATTTAATCTCGAGGGCGAGGAACAACTCACGCACTATGGCCAAAGCCTTTCGAACCTCGACCATTTTGATGATGTTGGTTTGCCTATGGATGAAGACGAAGATGAAGACGAAGGTGAGCATTCATATGTTTTGTATCGAGTATGTTTTCTTTAATTCGTTCAAGGCCAACTCGATCGTGACATCGTGGGGAGGGAACACTTTGGCGGCTTTGGCGATAAGGACGAGACAGACAATAAGGTGCGCCTCTCATACCTTAGAGGGAAATGTTCTTTTACTTATTCACTTTCCAGTCCGACCGGAAGAAATCGAAAGCGGAAGTTATGGCGGAACTCATTGCCAAGAGTAAAAAACATAAGGTAATGTATGATACTTTTTACTGGGGTCTTCCTAATTTTTGTTTAGGCTCTCCGTCAACTGCACCAAGCGCAAGAAGAGAGTATGCGACATCAACTGGACGAAGACTTCGATTCCTTCAGAGGTCTACTCTTCGCGCCTAACGCACAGATAACCGATAGCAACGTGGCTTCCCAACCTGGCATTCCCTCCGCCGACATGGACTACGACAGACAGATTCGCGAACTTGCCTTTGATCGACGCGCAAAAGCAAAGGATCGCACGAAAACGGAAGACGAGCTTGCGCTCGAACAAAAAGAGGCTTTAGAGGGAGCTGAAAGGCAGCGAATGCAGAGAATGCTCGGAGAAGATGGAGAAGGCGGCGCAAACCTCGAGGACGATTTTTCAGGGGATGGATCCTTCGCAACTATTGGGTCAGGATTAGTTCGCGGGATCGACCAGGGGGTTGCACAGGATGACAGCGAGGAGGAGGAAGATGAAGACGAAGGTGTGGGTGTGGATGAGGACGAGGACGAGGAGACCGACGGTGAGGATGAGAACAGTGAGGCGGAGGAGGGAAGTGAAACGAGTTTTGGCAGTGAGGCAGGCAGTACCTCTGGAAGTGAATTCGACAAAATCACAACGAACCAGAAGTCAGCAAAAGTGGAACCACCAGGTGTTCGACATGACCTACCCTTCACTTTCCCTTGCCCCGAGTCACACGAAGAGTTTCTGGAGATTATTGGAGAAATAGATGATACGGATGTGCCTATCGTTGTTCAGCGCATACGCACGTTGCATCACCCAAGCCTTTCCCCGGATAATAAAGTGAAGCTTCAGGTAATGCCTTCCTTCGACAGCTGTGAGCTCAGTTGACATGCGTTGTAGAACTTGACATCCGTCCTTGTTGACCACATCCTCTATATCACATCTCCCCCTGCTCCACGATTCACGCTCCTGAACTCTATTGTTCCCCACCTCTTTGCACTTTGCCGCTCGTACCCGATCGAATCTGCGGGAATTTTTGTGGAGAAACTCTCGCTGATGCACAAAAATTTGGAACGGGGATTATCGCGGGGAGCTCTTGAACTGGGTGCAAGAACATGGCCAGGGCCGGCTGAATTGTCCCTCTTGCGCACCATTGGAGTCATATGGTCTAGTAGTGACATGAGCCATCCCGTCATTTCACCGGCACGGCTTCTCATGGGTGCTTACTTGGGGCTGTGTCGTGTTCGGTCACTAACGGACATAACGAGTGGGCTCTTCTTATCATCTATATTCCTACAGTACGAGGAATTGTCCAAACGCCTGGTCCCAGAAGCCATTAACTTTTCTATCAACGCGGTCTTGCACCTAGCTCCGAGCTCTCTTAAAAATGTCACGTCAATACCCGGTTCATTTCCTTCCCCCGACTTCCATTCAGATCTGTGTGCACCCCTTGCGATCGACGTCAAGAAGTCCAAGCATCTTGACTTTCGCACACCAAACCTACATCAGCTCCTGATTGACGAGAATTATCAGGAGCAGGATAAACTTGATCTACTAGGTCTCGCTTTCCGCCTTCTGGACCGGTTTTCAGAAATGTACAAGAGCCTCGACGGTTTTATTGAGCTCTATCAACCAGTTTTAGATATCCTGACCAAACTCGGCATCACAAAACTTTCGGAGGGCGTTCGAGTGGGTCTACATCACGAACATGCGAAAAGTGAACTAACCATAATTTAGACGCAAGCCTCCTCTTTGCAAGACAAGCTCACTAGGTTATTGAAGTTTGCTCGTCAAGCTCGTAGGCCTCTTCTACTTCAGGCCCACAAGCCAATTCCGATCCCGACATACATACCCAAGTTTGAGCCAAGGTCCTCCTCCTACCTGCGTCGGCATGATCCAGATCATGAACGTAACGAGGCCTCGAAGCTTCGCTACCAAGTCAAGCAGGAGAAGAAGGGAGCCATTCGTGAGCTCCGAAAGGATGCGAAGTTCTTGGCAGCTGTCGAGCACAAACAACAGGCTGAAAAGGACCTCGCTTACAAGGACCGCATGAATAAGGCGTTTTCAACGTTGGAAGGCGAGAGAGCTGAGCAAAAGGCCATGGATAGAGAGAAGGCGAAAGAAAAGCGTCGATCCGGACGTAAGTAGATTATTTGAATATATAAAAAGTCTCTACATAATTGGTGAAGGTGAACACTGACTAGTGGCTGAATCGCTAGTAGAGTTTAGTCGACCATAGCAAATCAAACACTATATGGTACTGATGGCCCAACGTATCGCAAGCATTAATGGGGTAGTGGTAACCTGGGTCGTTGCCATCGACCCGCCGGGGGTTCGATTCCCTCTTAATGCATTTTTGTGGTTAGTTTTCCTTGATGAAACTGTTACCCTCGTTTAGCTTTCTCACGTTACATCGATGGTCAACGTAGGCCAGGGAACGTATCAGTTCCGATAGCGGTGTAGTTAGTTACTTCAATAAAGCAGTGAGTCAGTAAACCCCCGCCGTTTTGACTATGGATGAATTAGCTATTGGCTCATATAGGGATCCCTCGTCATCCCTTCCCTACTATTCCTCTCGACATACTTTTCGATATATTTCAGCATCTTCCTATCCAAAGCGTCCTGGCACTACGGCAGGTTGGCGCCCCTGCTTCATTTCACGGCATTTTTTAATCTGATTTTTTATTTTCTAGACTAGTAAAAGTTTTTATGCTATTACCCGTCTGCGCAGTCTCTGGGCTCTCCTTCTGCGGACTCTTGTCCAGGAACAAAATATCCCTATACCCTACTTTGATGGAAAATCTCTCGGGTCTTTGTCAGCCTTAGAGCTCGAGCGGCTTACATGTCGTGCACTCGCTCTTCGCAGCAACTGGACTAACCCTAATCCGAATGTGAAGAGGGAAATTGATTTTGAAGAGCCCTCCGAGAAGGATTTGTACATTTTCTCTATGGAGTTTCTCCCTGGCAAAAGAAATCGTTGGTTTATTTCTGTTGCGACTAGGGGTGTAGACCAATTTCGCCTACAACGCGTTATCCAGTGCTGGGACCTTGCTGTCCTACAACCCGTGTGCATAGCAAAACTGACATACATGGAAGGGCCATACGACCGTGTTGTTATCAATGACGATCCCTCTTCTCCAGCCATGATAGCGATCCAGTCATCACTGTAAGTGTAAATAGTAACACCCGCTTTAACGTTCTTGCTGATGGTCTATCATAGAACGGAAATACTCACAATCGACTTCGAAGAGAAAAACCCCGAGTCAGCATTCGTTCCGTTGAGTACCATTGATGGACTTAGAGAGATTCACCTACTCAGTGGGAGCACACTCGTCACCCGGCGTCCAGAACACGACGGAGAAGTGAGCATATGGGACATCAGTGATCAACCTTATGAGAAAATCCAGTTGGTGAGCCCCTCGCTATCACCGGTTAGCTTGTTTTTCCCGTGTAATCCCGCACGTCGCTGAGTTCTATGATTTGGCAGTTCCATTACTGCGAAGCTATGCATCTCTGTGACGATTACATAGTAATCATCCGCTGTCAGATTGTTGAGCTCTACTCCACCATTCCCCGACCCAACAACATTGCAACGCCGGGAGTGTCAATCTCGTACCCACTCGCACAGCACAGCTTTCAACAGCTCATACAGTCCGTCTATATGTCAGGGCAAGTCAACTGGCATGCTGCGCGCTCGCGCCGCCCCTCACCAATCAACATTGTCGTTCGATATCGAAGCACCGATCTCTGGCCGGCGAACACATTGCATCTTTTCGTACTTACGCCAAATCCAGCGTACATCCCAGGACGAGAGACTTCTCTATATAACCTTCCATACGTGGCGCAGCCCACTCTAGTGCAGACGATAGGCTCACCAGTGTTTTCATTTCAGATGTCGGACGTTGCTCTCGGACGATACGGTACTGTTATCTGGCTTGACAACTATTACGAAGACTGGGCGTACGCGAGGGAGCCTAGCGAGTTCGATCAACGACTTGCAGGACAGATACTGACGGCTACAGGAGGATTCTCGACTAGCCAGCATGGCTCACATGATTCCATGGTATTTCGCGTACGAGACCGCAACGATTGGAGAAGGGTCGCGATTGATGAGGAGTCTGGGAGAATTGTGGTCGGTGATGTGGACGGTGCGATAACACTCTTCGAATATCTTTAACTTGGTTTCTTCATTTGCTTTTGTTTTGATTATTGTCTCTTGACATGGACATTCTTCTCCATACCCACATCAAACTCACATTTAGCATATTTCACCATTTTCTCGTCTGTCACTTATATCCCTCGTCCATAATATACGAAGTTAAATCCATTGCGGTGGTGTATAATTGCGCGTTTCATTCCTGCTAGGTTTCCATTCCGAAAGGATCACAAAAATTCCAAGTCACGGCCGATATATCGCAGATGAGGACCTAAAAAACCAATGTGCCGTGTCATAATCCCATACCCGGAAATGTACCGCTGACGGTGTCAGTCCGAGTTCCCTCAATGTTTTTCTGAAACTGATCACCAGAGAATGTTTTCTTATTGGAAAAATCATGAATCCTTGGTACTGTTTACACGGCGCAACAAGATGCAGTTTGACCTGGAGAAATGCTGGGCGAATGTGACTGTTTCCACATCGACGAAAAGCGTTTGGGCAGCTAAAAATCCAGCGACTTCACGTAACGCTTGCAAGATGTATTGGTTCACAAGACGTTCGTAGTCTGTTTTAACCCGCTCATCACCAGGAATATCATGTGCACCTTGAACTCGTCACGAAGCTGTACCCACATGCTCAAGCACACGCTGGACAATACGCCTCCCAAAGCTTGCACACTCGGACGCTGGTGACTGCAGTCACGCATAAAACGACCCACAATTCTTCCACTTATCGAGCGACCGGTTTTGGCCATACCGGCGTGCATGCACCTCCCTAAATCGTGTGAGGCCCATTAGATTAAATAAATTATGATCATGAATGGACCCAAAGTTCGGCGACTACGTCTAACTCTTTCATTGTCCTTGCTTCCCTCGCGCCGGACCCTAAGTGATGAGTAGCCTGATCTGTACCAACATCCACGAGCTCATCCCTGACCAGTAGGATGCGCAAGCCACCCGCTCGCACAAATCCTGTCTGCATAGGCAGGAAGGTAAGTTCAAACTCTTGACTACCCTCTGCCTTCCTCACGTCATCATCTGATGAGTCCTCATGATGACTGGCGTGACTGGGATCAGCGAGCGTAATGGGGTTCAGGAACTGTGTGGATGACCCAACAAATACACAGCCTTTCAACTTTGCGCGTTTCTCCTCATCAGCGAACTCAAAGTAAGGGGGTGGCAATGTGGGTCCCCCGCGTGTGAGAATCTTCTCTGGCGAGATAACCAAGAGATTCTCGCTTGCCATGTTGGGGGAATTTTGTACAGGGGTAACAAGCGTTGACGTCGCAGAAGTGAGGCCCAGAGACGAGAACCGTGAGCTAATTGTCTCGGTGGCCTGGAATGGTTCAGGGTATGCAATCGCTGTAGCACGCGGATATTGAAGATGTTGTACAGCAAGAGTTATAACCCTTTGTTTCCCTTTGGCCTTTGGTAGAGCAGCAGAAACAGTGGCAGTGAAAGCAATCTTGAAGGGCCGTTCAACAGCGATAGATTGCCTGGCAATATGGTTTACGATAACGTCGACCTCGACGTCCAACACGGAAGCAGGCGCCGGTGGTGCTGGTTGTTGTTGATTTGGTGCGATAGGCATGTTGGACATAGATCCAGCTGCTGATGATTGCGGGCGCGTGCGGAAGGGTGAGCCTGGTCTGTATGGAGCCGGGGTTGGGGAACTAGGTCGAGAAGGAGGAAGTTGTGGAGATCGTGGTCGGGCGGGCGATGATGGTGCACTTGGCACGGTGCGCTGAAGATAAGGCGGAAGCGCTGAAACAGGGTGCTGGAGTGGGGGAGCTGGAGTTGAAGTTGGGTTCGGAACTGGAGTGGGGCCAGGAAATCGACGGGACAACATCTACGTGTCAAAAATAAGCAATGAAACTACTCTTTTGGACGGTGATCTCACCGAAGTTAATAAACGCCCAGGCTCGCCGAACTGAGAACGCCATGAGATGTCAAGTCTACCGAGAGGGATGACACTGCCTGCTGCATGAACGACAGGAAACGAGGAAGACGATGTTGGGGTCAGGATATAGATATACTGTCGTATGGCTTGTGGTTGCATGAGAGCCATCGAACCAGAGAATAATCTCCGATCCTTATCATCATCTGTCGTGTTGGCATCGACAACACTCCATCCCTCCGCGCATTCAAACTCCATGCGCTCGAACCACATCGTATCCTGTGTTAAGTTTTGAATGTGGACCTCGAGAAATACTTTCTCGCGCTCTGACGAAATCATCAACGCCGACGGAGACCGAGGTGTATGTACCTTTGTCTTTACAGAAAGAGGGTTGGTAACCTAGCGCATTTTCAGTCGAAATATTCAAATTGCCAGAAGTCCTATTGAAAACAATACATACAGCAAACTTGTAAAACTTGCGGAAGGTTGCTTCATTTGAGGGATCATTAGCACCAGGGGACTGGCGGTATGACGGAGGCAGGTGGTATGAGACGATACAAGCCAGAACATGGTGGCCCAACTCCTTCACCTCGTGGTGGGCCACATATTCCAGTGAATCTCCTATTGCGAGCTTGAAACCTGGGCCACCAAGTTCAGCCAACAGTATCTTGGAGTTTGCTGTCTGGATCTCAACGCGGACACTGACACCCTCGACGTCGATATTGGTCTCATTGTTAATGCATATGCAACTGGAGAATGTTTCGCCTAGCTGAATGGCTCCGAACGAGGCGGGAAGCGTAAGGAACTCAGATGCTTGAGTAAGATCCCGTAGGGTCTTTGGGTGGCCTTGGAGAGGTGTCTTTCCTTGCAGAGAGAGAATGGACGCAGTAGAGTGGGCAGAGAATGAAGGAGAGCTGGAATAAAAGGGCTGCCATGCGCTAGCTAGTGATGGTCTCTGTCATTAAGTACCAGCATTGATCACCACGTCGCGCGCTGAAAGATTGTCCACCCACAGATACCCGCATCACTTTCAGTGATAAAAGATGTCCTTGCGCATCCATGTTTGTTGCGGTGGCCGTATATGAGCGCTTGAGCTGTGGTAGGCCAGGACCTAGTACTGAAGTGTCTACAGTCTGAATACCGTCTACTAGTACTTTGCGCTGAGTGTTGTTTGTTCATATTAGAATTCAAAGCCATCGGCTATCCTCTGTCGGGGAACCTCCGGAGAGACCCATTCTGCAGACTGGAGGTCAACCGGAAACAATTGGTTCTGGGAGTCATGACGCTGACAAGGTGTAGGATAGCCGTAAAACATGCATGTAGTCGGGTCTGTACTCTAGTTACAGTAATATCATGCATGGACCATCAGATGATTATAGCGCAAAATAAATCAAAGATAGAAAACGTATCAAATATCAAAGTTCTTGCTGCACAATTTTCTTTGCCAACGCCTTAACGTTGTCGGCACTGGATCCTAGTCTGGTTGAGCCTACGGCTGCATCTACCATCTGTTGTCCGATACCAGGAGGTGCCCTCTTCCATTGAGTCACTCTCAGCCCAACTCCAGGCATTGTATGTCGAGCGATGTACCGCACCCAACGGTCGACGACCTCGGGGTCTGCATCCCATGCTTTAATTGCACGTTTGTGCACCTTCCGCTCGAAGTTCTCTTGACTCTTTTTGTGCACGAACGGACCACGAGGTACAGTCCATAGCGAGCGTTGTGTTGGCAAGTACACCGGGCGTGAAATTGGGATGCCTAATGCTGCAGCTGCATGTCCTACAAAATGCATGTACAGTTCAAGAAATTGTGGGTGATATGCGCGGAACTGCAGCTGAGCGACTGGAACTGAATGAGTGCGGGGGTGGTATGACGGGGGGTAGAGGCTACGTCCATGAATAATCATGGAAGAAAACTCTTCTTCTGTCAATGGTGCAGAAGCCTCCGATTCCAGCTGTCGAGTAGCACTGCATAAAGGCTGATATCATTCAGCTGCAAGACACGTAGTGAGCAAGCACATACACTGGGTGGCTGCTGCTGCCATTAAACCGCACAAATCTGGCTATAGTTGGCAGAGCCAGACAAGATCGTCGAGGGAACATGTCTTCAAGTTCGCGAATCACGCTCAATTCCGAATTCAGTCTATGGTCAAAATATCGAACCCGGCGAATGCCGGATCATGCCTTTGAAACCCTCCGATTCATGAGCTTTGGAACGAGGCTCAACAATAGACCGCTATGTCTTCCCATGACAGTGACCCATTTTATCTCAGGCGGGTGTCCTGCTAATTCATGAAATAATTGAGCTGACAGGTGTTTTCAGATACTAGTAAATCATGATGAATTCTGTTTTGTGATGTCGCTAAATGTTCATGCAGCACTGGTCATTCAGGAAAACACGGCCATGAATTCTTGGAGTTTGAGTACTCCCATGGTCGTCTTCGATATGCCAACAACTCGAACTATAGGAATGACAGCTTGATCCGTAAAGAAAGTCGGTGGTTCATTTTGCGTCCCGCTCGAGTGCTGACCCAAGTCCTCAGTGTGGGTAGGACCGTTAGTGGTCAAGGAGCTCAAGCGCATTGTGGAATCGAGTGAAATCACAAAGTAATCACAAGCTGTGCCCCATTTTTGACCTGCTGACGGGCCTTTCAGGGAAGATGATACGAACTGGCCGAAAAAAAACATCGTTGGAAAGCAAGAACTTGAGATACGTGTAGGCAATGACCACATTGCCTTCGAGGTACGTGATTAGCAGTATCTCTACAAATGGTATCTCATAACTCATTCGTCACATTTAGACTGCAAAAATCGGGTCACTTGTTGATATCCAAGACAGCGAGGATCCTGAAGGACTTCGTGTATTTTACTACCTTGTACAAGATTTGAAGGTGTGTCTTCGCCTACTTTCCCTCACACTATCTTACAGTCATCTGTAGTGTTTGATATTCTCCCTTATTTCTCTTCACTTCAAGATCAAGCCTATCTAGCTATATTCGTATCTCTTGGGCCAGGTCCAAATAACGCACCAGCAGCACCACAAATATTACCTTTGTATCGCCCTAAATTTCAGGCAACGCTGTTTAAATCACTGTCCTTCTTAATGCAAGATACATAAGTCATCGCATTCTGGACAGTTCATTTCAGGAGCTTCAGCGAAGGAAAAGTGCATTCTTGGTTCAAGTTTACGCCTCAAGTCGAAAGCGGTGTTGCAAGCACGGGGTGGCTCAGAAGAAGGCAATAGTGTAAATCTTGATTCTGTGTACTGAACTGGGAGAACGATACCAGGTCAGCTGTAGTCTACTCACCCCATCGACTAGCGTCCGTGGACCCTACTTCGTAAAAGTTGATCTATAGAATCTGCAGAGTATATGTCAAGCGTACGATACTATATAATCAAGCACCCTTCGCCAATACTCTCTTTAACTCAGCATTCCGCTTCTCCAGGGTCTGAATCTTTGTTTGTGCGGAACGCATCTTCTTCAACAAGTATTCCCTCCGCTCGGACGTTGCTCTACGCCTGAACCACCAAAATGACCGCTCCGTTTTTGAGAGGTCCTGAAGCGTGCTAAGCTCGGACTCGCATGTACGAACGGTACTTTCAGCGCTCGAGATAACTTTGTCGTTGAGCGCGATGTCTTGTGTGGCTTGGAAGACAGGGTCTGACGCATCGTTAGTGAGAGAACATTGATCACAATCGCATTGCCGTTACCGTTCACAAGTCTCTCAAAGACATATTTGAACACGGGCTTTCCGGGACGTATCGTGGATGGTCGACCTGAAAAGGATATTAAATAGCGTCCCCCAGCCTGAATGATTGACAGTACCATGCCGTGTGCTGATAGATATGATCTCAGCGTGTTCCATGACACGAAGCGGCAGCTCGTCTCCCTTGAAAGGCACATCGAGTAATACTTCATAATACGGCAGCTGACGAGAAAAGTGAGTAACCTGTCGACTAGCACAGGAGTTGATTACCTCAGCTCGGCGTGCCAGCTGCTTGAGCACAGTCCACGCCTGCTCCCTGGACCACGGCAAACTCTTAGCGTCGTCGATGTCCTCTCCAAAGGCCTTCTTCCTCAGTTCTCCGACACCGTCAGCAATGATATCTTCCACCGCTTCCTCGATGCCTTGATTACCGCAGACTTTGTGGATTAGCTATATGTGAGGAAGGTATCAGTATGCGCATTAAAAAGGCAACATATAACTTACACGTTCAAGGTCGCTCGTGCGGCCGCCAAGGTGTTCGATGGCCTTCTTTTGTGCGGGCGTGAGATCCGAAGTGATACCAGCATCGTACAGGCGTCGGCGGACAAAGGAGAGTGCAGTGGGGGCATCAGCATCATGAAGGGCAATAGAGTTCAATGGCTTGGAAGGCAACGCTGCAGCGCCATATTAGCAATACCTCATATGGGTGTAGATAAAACACATACCCCGGGCCAGTAGCTTTGCATCCTCGCGGTTGTCGCTGACTACGATAACATGGGCAACCTCGAAAGATATTAAGAGCACAGTTGACAAGTGGAGTGATGCGAATCACCTGATTCTCGGCGAGGGACGCTGCCCAATGCGCCAAAACGCCGAGAAGTTCTTCTTTGTAAACTCCTCCCCGTGCGGCATAGTTTTTGATGACCACAATCGGTAGCGTACGCACAACTTGCACGTCCTCTGCGTGCCGGTGTTGTTGTCTTGCTAGCTCCTCGCTCGTCTTCTCCCCTCCATCACTCAAGTTTACGACATCTTCCTCTATCACATTGAAGCCCGCAAGCCCGCCGTCGTCACCCTCTAGTAACTCGTCGCCCACCCCAAGCTCGCTTATAACGCCGTTTCCGGCAATACAGTCCAGCCGTGGATCGTGCCATGTCCCGGCGCGAATACGAGCACGAGTTCGTGCTTCTTCGGCTTGTCGTGCTTCAGCTTCTTGTGTTGCTTTAATAGCGCGCTGCGCAGAAGTGCGAAGGGAATGATTGACTTTCTTCAACGCTGTGCCTGTGACTTCAAGTATTTGTTTCAGCTGGTCTTCAAGGGAAGACTTAAAGCCCGCTAGAAATACATTAATTATTCCACTAACAAAGTGAAGAGGAGTCAATCAGGTCACCTTTTTGCCCGATTAGGCCAACGGTCGCAATGTCCACCATGTTGTTGACGGAGTTCAGGAAGGCAAAAATTGGTCTGTAGCCGGTCTGCTGTGCGAGTGCGGAGACGAGACGCATGTCTGATGTCGCTCTATTGAGCTCAGCACAATCGATCACTAAAGTTTTTCTGCAAAGCATGATAAGCTGTGTCTAGATGGACGTAGCGTATTACAAACCTGCCAGTGTCGCGGATGATAGCCTCGACCATACGCGATTTGCCACTGCCCTGGGGACCATGCACGAATGCAACGGTAGCTATTCAAATTGTGCTGTCAGAATTTTACATTGGAAAATAGGCGAGAAACTTACAAGGTAGGTCAGAGAGGTAGCTCCGCACAGCGCTTTCTGCATCCTTACGCTCCTTCCAGATGTCTCCCTGTGCAGAGACGTCTTCACGAGCCAAGCTCGTGAGGGAGAACCGGTCCAAGGCATTCGCACGAAGCCATTTATATAATTTATATTCTGAAGTGAAAGAAATAAGTTAGTACGTTCAATGACTGTGATTGGAATTACTTACCGCGATAATCGAACCAATTGAGCATCTTCCCTTCAACAGAAAGGACTCTTATGGGATCAAATATCTAAACAATTTTTTTCTAGCTCATGAATAAATCGGAGAAGAGTTCACGCACAGTGTAAGTCAACGTGCCGAGTAAAAAAAATATGATCGGCAACACAATCCTGGGATGCGAAGTCAGCCAGTCTCTGATTGCATGGGCCTGAATGGGACGTTGATATACAGTCTTCAGGCGTGTTGTTCCATCACCATCGGAGAATGTGTATCCATGGATGGTGTTCCGTGCGATGGTGGCGGAGCGTACGCGGTGAAAAAGAATATCGGAGGAGCGGAGTGTGCCTGCAGGAACGGGTGTAGGGGAAGTGATATTCTGTATCCGGCCGCACGACTGGCATGGCGTAAGGAGAGGTAAACTTATAAATGAGTGAACTCACTCGAAACAGACTATACAAGGCTTCTTCAGGAACATCTGGGCCCTGGAAGGACACGTGGACGATTCCTGACGGATATCGGTACATATCCTAATCGCGTTGTTTGCATTCTCGCCAAGTAACTTCTACTTGCGAAAACGCACCTCAAGAAACGGCTCTCCCTTCACGAGCCAAATATTACAGTGATTAAGTCCCGACCAAGAGGGGAGACCGCCGTGCTTAGTAGCTTCAAGTTGGAGATCCGTCTGAAGCATTTCGAGTGCGGTCTGATGATCACGACCAGTATAAGTGAAGCGCACAAAGACACCACCATCCTTCTGATAAGGCTGGAGCTCGTGTATGTGGAAGTCATGCGTCTTTACAGTCTCGAGACGCTCATGCAAACGCTCCAAGAGGTTTTCCTCGCGTAATATGCCAATGTAGTGTCGAAGACTGCGTGGGTTTAGTTAGGGTAAAAGGTGCAGTTGAGTGGTACGAACTCCCAGATACCCAAGCGAATAGGGAATACAGAGTCGATGAACAACCATCGTTCTTGAGACTATAGATAGTGATTAGTGTCGAGAACCCATGGTCTCGAAGTCACTTACGTCCCCGTCCAATTTAGATGTGCTCGCTGTCTCTGGTGTGTCCGGTGATACACGTGTGCTCGTATGTATTCGTCGTGTCTTGTGTGACAAAGAGCGCAAATTTCGAGCAACCAAGTTCAACGGACTTCTTGAATACATGCTGTAGCCTATCAGATGCTTACTGTGGCCAAGCTAGCTACTAGCAGATCATCGACGTCAATAGTATCGGAATCATTTACCGGTTCCTTATATTATAACGTAATGACCCGCCGGGCTGTGTGATCGTGGGAGAGTATCGCCTCATTTGTGCTCTTGTGCGGATGAAACGGAGCAAAGTTTGCATCCCGTGAGGGTTCTCCACGCGCTGTAGACACTGTCAGTTTGTGCGCACAGGACGACAGCGACCACTGGATCAAAACTGTTCTCGTCAACGCAGACAGTGATGAGCACCTATACCCAAATACAGGCCCGTCCCCCTCCAGCTGCACTAGGACGCAAAAATTCGTTCTTCGGCGCCATCAAGAATATTGTCACTGCCCCACTCTCATGGTTTGGTGGCAGCGAAGAAGACTTTGGCGATAGCGACGCCAGAGGAAAGCGAAGGCGGCTACCCATTGCCTCTGAGCAAACTCGCGATGACTCTGACTCTGACTCGGAGCAACGGACCAAGAGAATGAGAATGGGCAGCCCCAACAGAGATAAGCAACCATACCTTGATCCCCCCAGATCAGCCTTCATACAGCATCATAAGACATCTGAAGGTGTACGCATCCAAAATCACCGTCATGTTTCGCCCTCGCCACGAAAAGCCCTCCGTGTCCCTACTGCCACACCTCGCAATAGACGCACGATGTCCCCTTACCCAAGTGGATCGCAGCTCAAGGCACAGCCGTCTGTGCGTACAATGTCTCTTGATCCTCCGTCTGGGTTAGGTTACTCCGGTTCGCCAGCCCGGTTGCAGCCAGTTCCCACTATGCAAGATCTTACCGAGGAGAAAGATGCCATGTCCATCAGCAGGGAACCGTCCATGTCAAACCTTCGTATGCGTACGTCTGTTACACCCCAGCCCTCAGGTTCCGATTTCGGCCCCGTCATTCCCCCTCGCCGGGAGCGCGATCCAACTGAACCGCCACCACTTACGACATTGATGTCAAACCCCATGTTTGTCAAGCCCCCGCCTGGCTTGCAGAAGCTCACAACTGCGGAAATGACCAGACAAGCAACTCTTGGCTCATTGTTAGACTCTCAGCGTAAGGTGAGGATTTTTCTCTTGTTTCTTTTATCGTAGGCGTACTTTTGACACGAATTTCTCAGCAAACCAGTTCACCTGTCCGACGGGGGTCTGTTCTGTTTGGCACAGGATCCATGACAGACATATCCGCTCGTACGTATGCCTATATTCGTAATCGCTTTTGATAGCTGATTATCTTGCAATAGCCCATCTTTGGCCGATCAACCCCGCCGAGAAGGCCCTGCATGAGCTTGAGGTATACAAAACTCCCCTTCTTCCCTCCCGCCTCAAGGGTGCACCGATCCCGGATACTTTTATATCCAAGAAGAGCCGCCCTATCACTCTCATGCATGACCGGGACCGAGAGCGTAAGAAGGGGAAAGGCAAGAACAAGATGAAGGATCGAGACGGTGTCAATGGGACAAAGCCATACGCGGGTGAGGGTGGTATGAAAAAGTGGCTGGCAAGGAGAAAGCGGGAAGAGGAGGCGGTGCGAGCGTATGAGGAGGCCGATCGAGAGAAGGAGAAAGAGCGGACGATGGAGGAAGACGAAAGCGCTGAAGCTGAGGCTGAGAGGTTGAACGAACAACAAAAGAAAGCACAGGAGGAAGAGGCACAACTCAAGAAACAGATGGAAGTTGCGGTAGTTCCGAAGGCGCCTACATTCGAGCCGAAACTCAATGCTACAAGGGAAATGTCGTCTCTCCGCGTTGGACGCTCGCGGATGCGCAATCACATTGAGCGCCCGACAGCAAAGCGCACAAATAAGTTCTCTGCGGCGTTTGAAGATGACGAAGATGTTATGGATGATGAAAGAGCCGCACTTGAGGAGGCTGCAAAGAAAGTACCCGTGTTCGAAATCCCTGCTGGGTTCACGTTTGCAAAAGAGGTAGATCATTTTTATGGCACTGATGAATAAACGATCTCATCATTTTTGCAGACGTCCATATCTCATGATATCACAGGTGCAAAAGAACCTCCCATCAGCGCGCTTCCGTTTTCATTGTCTAAACCGACTGCACCTGCGGCTAAGCCGGTCCCAGCACCCGAGCCCTCTGTAACACCCGCTCCAGCAGTCCCTGCCATCTCGTTTGTTCCTCCTACCCCGCAGCCTCTCAAAACAGAGGCGCGTACTGAGCTCGCGCCCATTACAGCTGCCCTTCCCACAAGTGCCTCTAGTATTCCCAATTTCTTTGCTGATACGGTTGCGTATGCCAAGCCGTTGGCCGTCACTACTCACTCGGGATCTTTTGGCGCACCCCCTCCTGTTCTTGCACTCACAACAGCACCGGCACAAGTGCTAGAGGCTCCAAAGGTCACTGAGGCGTCTACTTCCTTGTTTGGTACACCTGTAATTGCTCCTCAAATATCTGCCACATCATCCTCTGCGCCTGCTACGACTTCTATGTTTGGAGCAGCTCCTCCGTCTGCAAGCACTCCAATTTTCGGCCCTTCTTCCACTAGCACTGGCACCTCATTTGGTGTTCTAGCACCACCAAAAGCAGCGCCTGCAGCGATAGAGTTGACGCATGTCGCTTCCCCCGTCATTTCTCCGCCGCAGCCATATGCCTCTACCCCTGCACCGTCCTCTTCGCCATTTTTGTTTGGCGCTTCAACTGCACCTGCTGAAATCGCCCCTGCCAAAGAAGTTCCAAAGCCAGCGGAACAAGAAGCAAGCAAACCTCCGTCGCTCTTTGGAGCTACCTCACCTGCCGTTTCCTTCGGCTTTGGCACACCCGCCGTTTCTGTACCTGCAGCTGAGCCGTCCAAGCCTGGATTCTCTTTTGGGGAACATGCGCCGACGCCTGCGATGACAGAGCCATCGAAGAGTGCTTTCTCATTCAGCGGGCCCGCATCTTCTACTACCCCTACGCCCGTACCTGCTCCTGTGATAGAAACTCCCAAACCATTTTTCGGGAAGCAAGACACAACCTCGACGGCTGGATTTCCGTTCGGCCCACGCCCCAGTACTGCGCCCGCAGAGGAGAAACCTGCCTCGGTGCTTCCGCCTTTCTCATTTGCGTCTGCTTCGCCTGCCCCAGCTGAGAAGAAGCCATTCACCTTTGGTACCCCTTCTCCTGCACCACCTACTACTTCAGCCAAGCCATTCAGCTTCGGGCATGCCAATGCGGGCAGCAATGCTGCTGACACGAGCAAACCGTTCAATTTTGGGCAGTCTGCTCCTGCTCCTGCACCCGTGCGTCCTGCCACGCCACCAAAAGCAGACCAGGAGATTAGCATGGATGAGAGCCCGAGTCGTGACATGAATATCAACGGGAAGGCACCAGAACGGCCAATACTCGACTTTTCTTCTTTCATTGGTGCCAGCAGCACCCCCGCAGGGAGCACCCTCTTCGCGCAGAGCCCTGCTACGGCAACAGGTCCTGGATTCGGATTCGGTACAGCTAGTGCCAATCCATTCTCGAAGCCAGAGGACAAGGAAAAGCCGGGGATGGCGTTTGGCTCCGGGAACTTTGGCCAGCCTTCTAGCTCAGGCTTTGGATTTGGGCAGGGCGCAACTGAAACACCTGCCGCAGCATCTACAGTGCCATTCTCGTTTTCGCAGGCAGCATCACCTAACGTGGCGCCGACCCCAGGGTTTGGATTCAACCAGACCGCAAGCAACGCATTTGGGCAACAGCAAAACACATCGTCAGCACCATCCAGTCCATCGACATTTAACCGTCCAGGGACATCATTCTCTTTTGGCACACCCGCGTCTACGCAGCCTGCTGCATCTTCGTTTGCGTTCGGGGGTAGTCAGCCTGCGTCCCCGGCTACCCCTTCTGGCGGGCTTCCACAGTCCTCAGGCGGTGCGTTTACATTCGGTCAGTCGGGTGCAGCGCCAGCTGCAACGCCAAATTCATTTGCTCCTACTGCCGCTTCATCTGGCGGAGGCGCTCTATTTACCATCGGTGCTGCTCCTCAGCCTGATGGAAGACAAATCAAGAAGCTCCCTCGTCGTGGAGTTGGGAGACGTTAATCGTCTATGAGACCTTTCCTTATGGTAATCCATAGGCTACGGACTTTCTCCACAGAAAATTCTTCTCCTCTAGTCTCGTCTTGTTTCATCTCTGCTTTCAATTGCGCTACCATCACCTCACTCCACCCCGACCAATTCTGATGTCAAGCATCAACCGGCGTGCACCTAGCATGGTGCTCCTCTTTACGCATCTGTCTCTTTGGGTCTTCAGTATTCAGCAGCTCGTCCCTGCTCGTCCTGTAGCGCACAACAACATTCACCCAGAGGAACTATTTCATCGGCACACATGGATGGCTCAAGGCCACCACACGCTTATCTCCATGACACAAGTTTGATTATACACATACTCACTGGGCTCAAGGCCCGTAGACACAATCACATAGTTACCTGCATCATTAGCTTCTACGTGCAAATGTTTTCGTTGTTAGTGGGAAGTGGTTCATATAATGTTAATAACTCTTCTGCTGTTATGACTCTAAAGCAGTGTGTGAATGAGTTGACGGCGCGTGACGCGTGAATTTGATACAATCTTGAACGCGTTCCGCGTCCATCATGCCTCGCGAAATTGTGACAGTCCAGCTCGGTCAATGTGGCAATCAAGGTGAGCTCTCTAAACCCATTCAAGCCTCAGACATTCTGATCTAGCGATTGAAAAAGTGGGCGCTGTGTACTGGCAACGCCTCTGTGCTGAACACGGAATCAACAAAGAAGGTATCCTCGAGGAATGGGCGACCGAAGGTGGAGACCGCAAAGATGTCTTCTTCTACCAAGCGGACGACGAGCATTATATTCCACGCGCGATCCTTGTCGACCTGGAGCCTCGCGTACGTACTCCTATGACGCGTTGCAACTGATCTCCTAACTATGCATTGTCTAGGTTATCAACAACATCCTCACCTCACCGTGGGCGAATCTGTACAACCCGGAGAACATTTTTATGTCGAAAGATGGTGGTGGCGCTGGAAATAACTGGGCGCATGGGTATGCTTCTGGGGAGAGACTGTATGAAGAGGTCATGGAAATGATTGATCGAGAAGCTGAAGGGAGCGACTCTCTGGAGGTGAGCATTAGCTTTTGTTTCGCCTTGGTCTTTGTATGTCCTCATGAGTTGTCTTACAGGGCTTCATGCTCATGCATTCAATAGCAGGAGGCACGGGTTCAGGATTCGGTTCCTTCATTCTCGAGCGCCTGAATGATAAGTTTCCCAAAAAGCTCATCCAAACATACTCTGTTTTTCCGAACGCCAACGAGGGTGATGTCGTGGTGCAGCCTTACAACTCTCTCCTTACCCTTAAGCGTCTAACGAACCATGCTGACTCGGTCGTTGTCCTGGACAACGGCGCATTGGCGCGGATATCGGCAGATCGATTGCACGTTCAAACACCTACTTTTGACCAGACAAATCAGCTCGTGAGTGCACAAACAGAGTGATATTGTTTGATTGCTCAGCCTGATCACTGCCAAAGGTCTCAACAGTCATGGCTGCGAGCACGCAGACACTTCGATATCCAGGATATATGAACAACGACCTTGTGGGCATAATAGCCTCACTCATACCAACGCCTCGATGTCACTTCCTTATGACCTCGTACACACCCTTCACAAGTGATCAAATCGACAAGGTTCCTACTCCTCTATGTCTTTGGTGCACGGATTTGCTTATCTCCCGTATTATCAGGCAAAACCAATTCGTAGAACAACAGTCCTTGATGTTATGCGACGTTTGCTTCAGCCAAAAAACCGCATGGTGTCCACAACACCAAGCAAAACGGCCTGCTACATCTCAATCTTGAATATCATCCAAGGAGATGTCGACCCAACGGACGTACGACTCTCACCATTGGTTATTCATTTGACGTTCTGCCCACTCACTCTGTCATATAGGTTCACCAATCACTTCTGCGGATACGAGAACGTCAGCTCGCGAACTTTATACCTTGGGGACCAGCATCGATACAAGTAGCTTTGACGCGTCGTTCGCCATATGTCACGACAAATCACCGCGTCAGCGGACTCATGCTTGCTAACCACACGAGCATTGCCTCGGTAGAAAGACATTTTCGTACGTCTTCACTCAATGCTGATTTTTTTTCTCTAGCTATTCAAGCGGATGCTCGACCAGTTTGACCGGCTCCGGAAACGAAATGCATTTTTGGAGCAATACAAGAAAGAGAAAATGTTTGAGAATGGACTGGAAGAATTTGATGATGCGAGGTGTGTGACTTTTGAAGTCCACAACTAAGAATTTGATTGACCGGCGGCCCATTAGAGCGACTGCAGAGGAGTTGCTCAAAGAGTATAAGGCTTGCGAGAGTGCGGATTATATTACTTATGTAAGTTCTTTTGTTCACCGTTCATTGTATCTGCGCTCAGGTCAAGAGTTACAGGGGGCGCCAGACGCAGAACAGGGTTCATAGTGGGATTGAAGCGAAGTTCATGTATATCATTCGCTTGTTGTCTGATGGCTGCTTGTATTTTGTTCGATTTCCATTATGCTCAGAAACGTTGTAAATGATGTTCAGTACAATACTGCGAAAAGATCTAGTGATAACAGACAGAACTACACATGTAATAGCAATCCACACCGATATGTATCGATATAATGCGACGACGGAGGGGTCAAATCACGACTTCTTCGGCCCCTCCAGCTTCTTTCCAATATCCGCACCTATAAACGAGCATCATTTCTGAATGGTGCTTGAAATGGGACGTCTGTACTCACCACGAAGCTTGACACCCAGAATCCTCTCGAACTTGCCGAGGACCGCAGGATTAGGGATAGCCTTCCCGGATTCGTAGTCTTGTATTACAGAAGGCTTCTCGTTCGTCTTCTGGGCCAGGTCTTTCTGAGTCAGCTGCTTGTCCATGCGAGCAGTTTGGATGGCCTGCGTGCTGTGTAAGCGTCCACGTGACGGACTATGAGTCAGTACCGACCTTGCCGACGCTTGCGTTGACTTTCGGTGGAGGAGCAACTTCGTTCTCGCGGTCAAGCTTGGCTATGCGTTGGTGATCTGGCCCTGAATGCCACACAGTTAGTAAGTTGTGTGATACTGACTGACTTGTGTGATGACGCACCTGGACGGGCTTTGTTCCCACCAGCGGTGACCTTCTTGTCTGTAGCAACGACAGCTCCTGTTCTGCGCGCCTTTTGAGGTTGTCAGTCAAAGTCAGTTGATCTGGAAGTAAAAAGTCATACGGCTAAAATTTGTGATTCGTCAAGTATTTCAAGTACAAATGACTGTACCATTACTTACCATTCAAGTCCGACGCATTGCGGGTAACTTTGGGGGCCTTAGCCTTAAATCCGATGACGGTCTTGCTGTCCCATTCCATGTTGCTCATTATGGCTTTCCTGCAGAGTGGGAGGTGAAAGGAAGGGGTGGTATGTTAGTGTTGTGGACGTTGTGGCAAACAACTGGTGGCGCCGGCTTATTGATAAGTGATCATGTTGTCACAGCTTGTCACAGCCCGAGTCACAATTTTTATTCTGATTCAAATTGCTACGGAGCAAAGCATAGGTACACGTGTGTCTCTTGGTCGAGTCACTCGTTGGGCCAGACTCGTCTAATGTTAGTAGTAAGTTGTCTAAAGGTGCTTTGCAAGGGACCCTCTTGACTCGCAACACAGCTTAACAAAAGCCCTACCGAAGAAAGATTTCCTGCGTCTTAGGCTAGGAGCGCCCTTAAGTGGGCTCCACTGAACGATTCCAGGCGAGGAGGAGATGTTATGCGGTTAGCGTTGAGGAGGAGTGTTAGAGCTAATATGCTAACACTTACTTTAGTCTAACTGTATCGTCTAGGTCTTAAACATACTTTACCAGCGAGACGTGGAAAGTGGTCCAATGAATTCGAACTTTTTGTAAGGTTACGCGGTCATCAGTAAAGAGTGCTATGATCATGGCAATAGGATTGCAAAGTTATTTCTATCACCTTGCCTACAGACAGTCTTCTTACGATATTCGTGGAGAGTCTTATGGTCGCCCTCACTTTTCCTGTACAACCAATACGCCATTTTCCCGCCATTCTTCCACTTTCGCTGGACCTCAGTAAATCCAAGGACATCCATGAGGGATTGAAGCTTATCGAAAGTCAAATATCGCGAGTTCTCCACGCACGGAAGCGGAAGCTAGTAAGAAGACCAGGTTATTAGCCCCTCATTTATGGATGCACTAAAGACTTGTGAACCAAGTCAGTTGCTTACCGCAAGAAAGAGTAGGCCGTCTGGGGTTAACATAGAGTGTGCAAGGCATAACATTCGCCCTGAAAGAGGTGGTGTCAAATTGCGGGTAGCACGAACACTGTACATGTATACCTCGATCTCTCGGGTCCGGAACAAAGTTCACGACCAAGCTCAGGCTGATGATATCCCACTTCCCTCGATTCTCATCCTCGTCCATCAACAGAAAATCCTGCTCTACAATAGAGGGATGGCGGCTGCGAAGGTCCATGGGTGTGGTATCTATCCATGACATGCATGTTCGATAGTTGTCAGGCTTTAGAGCACCAACTTCCAGAAGCCTGTTTGTCGTAGATATGTTAGAGCCAGTTCAATTGCTTTTATTGAATAGGTGACTCTTAAGTACCTCAGCTTCCCTTTAGCTTCCCTCTTCCGAAGCTCCATATGAATCAGCCACTGTATGAGCACTTTCTCACTTCCGCCGCCGCGGTCATTCCCCTGCCCAATACTCGACATACGCTGATAGGCCGCTAGTCCCCCCAGCTCATCGATCTCATGTTCTATTTCCCCGAGTACCTCAGCATTTGCAGAAGAGGCATTTTTCAGCTGTCTCTGTTTTTTCAGTAGGACATGAAACCGTCGGATGACAGTGCGACTTGACGTGGGAGTGCTCGATGAGCTCGCTTTGTCAGTGTTCGTTATAGGAATCTTCTTTTTGCGAGTCCTGGGCATGGGTGACGTTAACAAGTTGTGTGCGGTTCTGAGAGCATGACTAGTATAGTATGTGGTGGTGCTTGAGCTTGATTAGCAAACACTGAGAGTGGGGCTACTTACGTATGAGCAACCCGTTCACTATCACACGGATAAATTTTGTTTCAAAGTTCGAAACATCGAATGCCCAATCACTATCGATAGTTACTACAACAATTGGTTCACTGGGTACAAACAAAAGGCTCAAGGGGATGTCCACATCCAAGACATAAACAAGGACTGTTCTTCCTTCTTTAGGTAGGTCTGGCTTGTATCCAAGACCAGCGAAATAAACCGATATGAAACCAATGGAACAATGTCCTCGAATTAAAAAGACAAGTATTGGTTTAAACACCATCCGCAGTCACGGACTACGGGTAACCTTGATTGCGTGAACGAATAGAGCAATCCAGATCAATCGATAACAATTGAAGAGCGGTAGCAACGCGCTTTAAAAAAAACTGTGCACCCCACGTTTCGAGTCGATCTTTTCAAAGCGCTCGAACTCCTGCCTCTGGTTGAGAGGGAAACAGATCAACAGTGCGGCCAGTTGCTAAGACAAAATGATGCCTCACCTTCTTGATAACGCACATATTTGCCAGGAAAAGACCAATCACGATTGCCATGAAACCATCGATAGTGCTACAGAAGGTATGAGAGTTCTGTTTGTGAGGAAATAACAAGGGAAAGGTACCTGAAGATGTTGTTCAGTGTCAGATCGGTAAACTTGGTGATGGGCGTGACACAGAAATTGTTCAAAGCAGTTGCAGCGGCCTGATTGGGGCATATAGTGCCTCCAAACGCAACCTCATCGGTAGCGTCGAAGTAACCACAGCACTTGAGCTATGAAAAAATAAGGAAATCAACATAACCACGAGTTGCAGTCCGAGTGGGACGCACCATATCCTGGATCAAAATCTTGGTCTCGTTACTCTGTTGCCCAAATACAGCATGATAGTTATTCCGCTCGTGCAGCGTGAAGATCCAAATATATGTGCCGATGAGTAGAATAATGATGCTGTTTGCAAGAAGTATCCAATTGAGAATTTTCAGGCCCAGGGTGCCGCGTTGTGTAATAACAAGCAGTGACAGAACAAATGTGGCAAGGAGAGTTATACCAAGCACGCTGCCAGCTTCAGATGTCGTTTTCAGGGGGATGCTATACACAGGTACATGAAACACTTACCAGTCAAGTTCACACCGCTAAACGTCAAGTTCAGCATAAGGTTGGGTTGACGCCATACGATGGACAAGGTCAGCGAGAGGATACCAGCGGCCATGAGACATATAACAAAGAATGCCCATGCTCCAATCAATTTCTTCGACAACATGATTGTTTTTGCCTGGATGATGGAACTAAATGGAGTGTTGTGTAGAAGAGCGTCGGAGGATCAAGAAAACAGACGTCCTAACGAATGGGTTGGCTGGTGAGCTGAATCGGATTGATGGAAATGGCACTCTTCCGGAGAGTAGAGGAACGATAGCACCTGGCTAGAGCTCTGTACCTAAAACTAGTCAAACGACGATCAACGTCGAGCGTCTGCGCAGCAGAAAAAGAACGAAAGAAAGAAGGAGTGAGCACTCTGTGAACCAGAGATTGGAGATCACAGGATTTCACTTACAATATGTATGTGTAGTATACAGATGGCGGTGCTGCTGAAATGATCAAAGCTATACAGGAATTCAGGGCAGTTGAAGACGCGGGGAAAAAAGCCGACAGTAGTGTCAAGGAATACTCATGGAAGGCTATGGAGGGCAGTGGCAGGCGGTGGTATGGTAGTATGGTCCTTCTGTTATCGACAATATTAAATTTCAGTCTCCATGACAAACACAACATCATTGGAACAAACTTTGTACACCGTGACCAGTTTGGCTGCAGCTGCACAATCATATACGCTCATTCACTTCAACCGCATCAACCGCATCAATCGCATCAGCTCTCACGAGCTCTCAGTAATTCACCCCAGTCTCTCCGTAAGCTCTTTTCCGTATAACTGACCGGCTCCTTATCGCCATCATATTTTATGCGGCAGGTCCATCAATCATTTTTTACTGATTTGGGATTCTATCATGTCTCACTTGGGCGGTGGTTCTCTGTTGCTGGCCTGGCAACTGAAAGGAAAACATGTGCTTATCGTTGGCGGTGGCGACGTTGCTTCTGGGCGTATCGAATCTGTGCTAGCTGCCGATGCTCGCTTGACGCTTATCAGTCCAAGTAACGGACTGCACACTCTTACCAAGTCTTTCCTCGATGGACCCTATAATATCACATACCATGACCGCCTGTTCGGAGGTGTGGAAGACTTGGCCGATGTTGATCTTGTATTAACGGCAATTGATGATGTGGCGCAGTCTCGTGTCATTTGTTGCCTATGCAGGGAGCTCAAGATTCCCGTTAACGTGGCTGATATCCCGGAGTCATGCGACTTTTATTTTGGCTCTCAAATCCGTGACGGCCCTCTTCAAATTATGATCTCGACAAACGGGAATAGCCCTAAATTGGCTAATATCATACGGAAGAAGGTCGAGCAAAGCCTTCCAGAGCATGCCGGAGATGCAATTACCAGGGTGGGTGAGCTGAGAGTGAAGTTGAAGGAGAGAGCCCCTGGAGTGGGCGGTGCAATTGGGAAGAGACGGATGCGGTGGATGATCGATGTCTGCACTTCTTGGGAAATGGAGGAGCTTGCTCTATTGGACGATCAGATGATAAGGAGGCTTCTTGACGATGGCTGGGAGAAGAACGTAGTCCCATCTCCTGGTGAACTGGGAGCCAGGTCATCCCGGCAGGTGTATGAAGCCAAACTGAACCTCACGGCCCCTGGCGTTTTGGTTACCACGTTGAGCTTTGTTGCAGGCGCTGCTTGCGCAGGTCTTTTATTGCTCGTCCGACGGCGGTGATCTTCGCGTATGCCGCCCCGCCCCGCTTCAATACATACGCTGATCTTTTGTCCTGATTTATTCCTGTTGGTGTACAACGACGACAATCACTGTGATGAAGCACGCTATTTCTGGGTCAGATCTATTCACGATTGCCTCTCCATTATCCTTGCCGACAGTAGACAATAGCCCCGTAAGTTGCTGGTCGTTCCACGGACCGTTTGTGTCACTGCTGTGTCAGCCTGATGCGCTTGACCGGCTGCTGTGTCTTCCCATTACGCACGTTTCGTGGTTCAGGTTGTCAACCTGACATGCAGTGTAATGGTGGTCGGTACGTCAAATTTGAAAAGGTACTCAGGCATTGTTCTCTTCAAATGCTTAGCTAGGCTACTCAGTGGCTGAGTCGTTGGTTGACCGGGGAGGATCAGTTGTGTCCAAAGAAATCATAAGCTGATATTTACTAGTAGGACCTGCGTTTCTGTTTGAATGATTCCCCCGAAGGCACGGTATCCAACAGCTCCACATCGACACTACATAATCGTTCAGGCTAGCACTGTAGTAACCATTTTCGCGTGAGAAGGGAACAACCATAAATACCAAGTCCCGCTCAAGTGGCAACGGGCAATTATTGGAGGGCCAAACGCCCCGAGGTGCATCACCTTGACAGCACTAATCTGCAAGCGGGTCCATGAATAGTGGGTGCACGAGAGGAGTAAGACTGAGTACTGAGTATTGAGGCAATGTCGATACTGGTGATCATCCCGTAATTAGAAGATGAAACCACTGCATGTATCAGCCAACTACGGTATGATCATTGGTGAACTTCGGGCCGGATCTGCTGGAAAATGGGTAATGTGTAATTGCGTGTTTTGGAATCTCAAGGACTATACTAGATTTTATCACTGGCGGGCGTTTCTGGCTGCCTATTAGACCAGACCGTCGATTGCCCGATGGAAGGGCTGATGTTTTATGACGATGTAGCGGGAATATCGGGGATTTGTGTATCTGGTGTTATATCCCCTGTTACTGTTCGTCCATAATGTGTTAGGAGCCCAATAGCAGAACCAATCCCAGCGCCACCAATCACCACTGTTGAAGATAATAGGCGGCATGCACTAGTATATCATGAAATATTTCGCTCACAGTTCACTGTGCTCGCTCTCTTCCAGAAAATTGCAGGCGTTAACACCGCAAACAATATCGCGCCAATAGTAGAGTGGTCGTCGGCACGTAATGAAGCAGTCTGAAAAACAACCTGAACTTTAAGTAGCATTCAGGATTAATTGGACATACGTCGTAGGCGTGTTGCAGGCGCCGTTTCCTCACAGTGGCTTCACTGGCCCTGGATGAGCGAATATACTCGAGTGCGCCTCCTCCTGCGCATCCTAGGGAGTGAGATTTTCAGGATTAACAGGAAGTAAAGATGTTAGCATTGTGCTTGCATACCTACTGCACCACATACCCATGTCGCGCGAAGGAATCGATTGACAGTGAAGTGGCCTTTACCTTTCCGCATGAGCACAAAAGCAGCGTATGCCGGTGGGGTGAGTAAAGAAAATACTTCATATCCTTTGGTCATTCCTCGTCTCACGAGGACCTCCATGTCAGCGTGAGTCTCTGACAGTCTTTCTGAACCCATTCCTGTAGTGACTCGGATTCAGGAGACGTGGCTCGTCGCGGTACACGATGAACAAGGTATGTGACATGTCACGTGCCATGCACGGACCACTAGGTGTGTGGATGAATAAGCTTTGTCTGCATTGCACCTTGTGCTTGACCTTGACCCTTATTTGACTGCTATTGCCTTTGCAATGTCAGTTTCACCATTTCCTGAGCCTTTGGATGCACCAATGCACGACTTCGCTACCGAAATTGATGTTCCAATGAACCCAGCAGCTGCGCAAGAATTTTTTGTGGAGTTATCCATGGACCACGATGGTCATCACACGACTTATAACCAGGAGGATGTCGAGGTCGACATGGAGACTTACTATGATGGCAATGCAGAGTATGAGATGGCTGATGAGACGGAGGAATTCAACGAAAGCCATTATCACCATGAGCTGCTCGACGTGGAAGTCTACGACGCTTCCGACGCTCGCTCACCTCGGCCCATACCTGATTCACACTCATTATCGTCTCTGATAATCAATCCGGAGATATCATTACTTCCCTCCCCTGCCCCTTTCTCGGATCCGTTCACCCCCCAGCTAGTCACCATTCCTGTTGAACACGACGCATCTCTCCCAGATCGCCTGGTGGAAAACGATCATCCTGTAGCTGAGGAAGCAGAATTTAATGCTCTGCGAGAGGAGGAATCTCTCGCTTTAACGTTAGAGCAACTATCGGAGTTGGATCCCCCTCATCTTACCACCGCTGCCGATCAAACGGCTGTAGAGTTGAACGTACCTTCTGTGGCTTCGACGGATCCATATGCCGTAGAAAAACACGCGGATGCTCCAGTTTCTGAAACCACCAATAGAGTTGGATCAACTGTTCTACCTCCAGAGCCAGAACCCACGCTTCAAACACAAGTTGAGGAGCAGTCTGAGACGTTCCACCCGTACCCGTCAGACATCCCATCTGATAATATCGCGCAGCCTCAGGGTGAAACCCATCCGGAGAGCCTCCGCGATGAGGCAGACAATGCGAATGATCCACACGAAATATCTGATGGCGTCTACATTGACCCGCCACCCGCTGTTTTTCTGTCTATCGGCTCCTCTGAAGTACCTGAATACTGTTTATTCAACCAGCCTCCAGTGGAACGTGGATCCCGTAGCCCGTCTGCAGGAGCTAGCAACCAACAGGCGTATGCGTTGCTCCTGGAGAATCGGCCAACGTTGTACTATGAGCCCCTTAGTTGTGTATTTGAAGCACTTCGGCAGGATGAAGTCATTTCCAGGATTCCTGACTCTCTCGAGGGAGAGTTAGTGATGGATGCGTACGATCTTCAGCTCGCTGTGTTGGAGGTGGGTGTCATTTATCCTTCTGCGTAGGATAAGCGCTGATTTCCATGTAGGACAATGTTTATGCACAGGAAATCAGTTTGCATGACCTGAACGTACTGCACGATGGTTCTGATTTTACGGGCCCTCTCCGCATCCATCTGCGTTCGGCCATACCTAGGTTTATTTTGCGTTACCGTTTACTTCAAGAACAGATTTCTCGGCTTGATCTGGCTGCAGGCGTTGATGAGAATGTTGCAGCAGAAGGTTTGTATTCCTCTTCAACAATATCGAAATTATCTTTGAACGTTGTTGCAGGATACGCCCCTGCAGTTCAACATGATGCCGCGCCAGAAGCAGATCAGCATGAGGAAGAAGCTCAGCTTGAAGCAGAGCACCGTGAGGAAGAGGATGCGGATCATCACGATGAAGAAGGTGTAGATCACCACGAGGAAGAAGCCCAACACAAAGCACTTCTCCTTGGCGACCAGAACGATCTCGATGGAACAGAAGGCGTTCATGAGGCGAAAGTTTCTCTAGACCTACTCCAGGGTGATGACACCCTTGCTAAGGACATGGCTTTTATCCCACAGGCTGTGGCAGATGTTGCCTATCACAGTGTTAGTGGCGACGTAGCACAGGCCCTTGAAGGAGAGGATGATTATGAAGGCACGAACGTCGGCACAGAGTATCAAGAAGAGGGCGAGGGCGATCATGACACCGCTGCCGTGCATCAGACAGCGGATACGGACGCTACTGCAACCGTTTCCGGCTTCAATGTGCAGTTCGAAGGGGAGGAGGCCGAGTACCAGGATTACATACAACCAGAAGAATATGGCGAAATCTATGAAGACTTCCCCGAAGAGGATGGCACACACACAGAATTCGGATACGATCAAACGGTGGGTTATGAAGACAGCGGCACAGCGGCTGTACCCACAACAGTAGAAGAATCACAGACAGGTTTGCCTGTATCTGACCTCCATGAAGAAGAGACTACGCTAGTACCACCAGCACAACACATCGACTCTGAGCCCGCTCAGATATCAGAAACAGGAGACCGAGGCAACGACGAAGACTTGGATCAGCGCAGCGTTTTGGATGGTGAGCAATGTTGTTCTGTTGAATATGCTCGTATCCTCACTGTGCGCTAGAACGAGGAGATCGTTTACCATCATACGGAGAGCAGAGCAGCCATGGCACTGACAAAGGTATGTCCGAGTGTTTTTGCCACTTGATATTGTTTACTAATACTGATGCCGATTAGATCTTATTGTAGATCAGAATACAGATCAGCCCGAATCGTCAGCGCAATTCCCAACAGATGAGTCGGATTCTAATTTACTTGCAATGCTTGAACGCGAGGCTGGTAAGGTGGCTGGTTTTTGATGAGAGACTGCGCTGACCCATAACCCAGATTTTGAGCTAGATCATTCTTCCTCTCACACCAATGCTAACCCCACAGAAGAGGGTGGCGGACACACTTTTCCAGTTTTGGAAGAGGAATGGGATGAAGAATGGGATGATGAATTAGATGGTGATGGCGAAATCGATGACGAATGGCAGGACCCTGGCGACGCTGTGTCCAATGAAAGCTCTGTGACTCTGTCCAGTATTTCATCTGCAAAACGCCATCACGACGAGGTCGACCCCGAAGAAGGTGAACTTGAAGCTGGCACACCTCATAGTTCACCGGGTATGTCTCAGTTTTGTATTTTACACTTACTTTGCTGACCACAGTGTATTGCAGAAAAACGACCTCGCATGTATTGAGACAGCGTCGGCATCTCACATCCTCTTTGGCGCCATTCTTTTCCTGCGCCCCTACACTGCTGCTACCGCTCAGCCTCATTGCCTGCTCGTAGCAGGTCTAACTTATCAGACTTCGTTCATTATCATGGCCCTGGATCGAATGACACGCACTCAACCCGAACATCAAAATTACGACCGTAGGCTAAGTACCGTTTTTCAAGTTTCTATCGTGTCCCCTATTCTTTCAGTTCATCACCGCTTTTTTCGTGGCTCACCTTTACAGCATATTTGGGCGTGTTACCGGCTTAGAACGAGGTGGGGGCTGGTGTTGAAGGATAACATCATTTGGTGGGAATTGGGAACGGGCATGTGTGGTCATGTTCTTGGTCTGTTTGACCGTCACTGGGCCCTAATGACTGCATTTGATGTTCGCTCCGAGCTTCCTTACGAGCAACCACCTGATCCCATGACATGACGACGGTGTTGATAGCACGCCAGTATAATCTTGTATAATTTTCGTCGAAAGCAACTCATCTGTACAATAATAACGCTCCGCAACAACTTCTGCTCGGAGACTCCCGGAGGCGCACTAGAGAAAGAGATTACCGACACGACGTATAACTTTACTTGTAAATTTTTAACCAGAGCAAGATTCTGCGAATTGAGAGTATGCACAATAGTAGATCTGTTCGAGATTGGTCTAACGCACACCTCTGGCAGGATAAATCTATTTGTCATGCATTCCTAGACTGACAGTGATCGAGGTATCCTTGACTCAATGATGAACCTCTGCCTGCTTCACGTCTGCCTCCAAGAATCCAAGGAATGCATCCGCACCCTTACCCACATCCTCTCCTGCATGCACAGTGGAACTCGTGACCTCTGCCTCAGCTTTTGTGGGCTCAGTCGCGTCATATGCGGTGAGTTCGGCAGCCAGGTCGACGGGAAGAGTGGGAGGTTTTGGAACGGCGGGTAGTGAGAAATTCTTGACAACGCCAACGTGTGCGTCTTTTGCCTAGAGAATATATGGGTGAGTTGCTGGAATGAGCCAAATCAGACGTCACTAAAAAAACGAACTGCAACAGGGGCCTTGTAAGCTTTTAGCTCCTTGACATAGAGGTCCTGGACAAGGTCTGCCGAAAGACTTCGTCAATCCATTGACTCATGTGCCGGTCGGCGAAATGCGGAACAAACCTTTACGAGCAATAGACGTCGTAGAGAAGGTCCGTGCAGAGCGGGCCTGTCGCATAAATGAGCTCAATGACATGAAAATATGGTGATCTTAAAGCTCACCGCTTGTCTGAGGAAATTCATGGACAACATGGCTAGAAAAGAGAGTGGAGCGTGACGTTACGCGGTGTTGCTCCGTGTTGTTTGAGAGTCACGTGTTGAGTCATGGCATATATATTGCCAGCTGTTGAGTACGTTCAACGTCGGCTCCATCTTGGATATTCCAGCGCAAACGATTCATATATCATGATGTTCACTGTTATTGCCCGCCGTGTCCCACTTACCCGGCTCGTCCTCTCAAGGGGTTACACCTCAAGTGTCAGAGAAGGCAGTGTTGCTCAGAGCAAGGGGTTCTCGTATGTGTAGATTCTTGCAGCGCAGTGGACGTCTATCTAACAGTATTAACTGCAGCAAAAAGGAGAAAGCTCATGAAGGTACATTTACCTGTGGCAAATCCAGTATTTTTGTCACACTCATTGATTGCTATTCACAGACGAGTACGCTCGTAGGCACGAGGCGGAGCTGCTGCGTAAGCTGAAAACTGAGGTGTGCACCACAAGAATTACAATTGTTTCATTGTCCTGATCAGTTCTGTAGATTGAGGCGAAGAAGGAGGAACTTGTAAGTTACCAGTATTTCTGTCGCTTAATGACATTCTGACTTTGAACATCAGGCCAGGCTGCAGGAGAAGCATGACGAGGTCAACTCAAAGCAGTAAACAGTAGTGCAATGATGTCAATATTAATGGATTGCAAAGGTTCAACGTTCAGTGCAACGCTGATCATGTCTGAGTTTTCGCCGAACACACAATGTTGTTTCCTCTGCTCTTGTAACTACGCTAGTTTTCTGCTAGTAGCGTTCTTGATGCATAAATGTGCAAATGTTGCGAGCAAGAGTAATTGTGAATCCAAGCACGAGTTCAGAATTCCGGGCTGTGATGACCATTTTGATATGCGATTACGTCATCATTTTTCTGGAGATCTATCATTGCTCTGATGAGTATGTATGACTTCCAAATCGTCTGCTCGTTCTTAACCATTAGTACAATTACAGTACTCAGTAATGGCGGATGCAGAGACTTCCCGCCTATGTGTTCAGATTGTCTGGTCACACTTTGGTCCGTTAACGGCGGTGAGTTTTCGTGTGGTTTTTACCAGCACAGAAGTTTATTCATACCTGAATGGCTTATCAGAAGGTTGCATTTGCACTACTCACGCGGGGAAGACTTTCCCTTGCCCAGCTCATTCGTTACACGAAGATGAAACCGCGCACAGCACGCGTAGCAACCTTGGTTCTGGTGCAACAAAATATTTTATGGCATTCTAACACCGAGGAGGAGGGCGAGATGCTGGAGTTCAATACGCTAGAGTGTCTTATGCGTCTTAGATTTGGTCGCTTCGTGTGGCAAGCGGAGCAATTGTTTGGATCTTCTGTATGTACCCTCCTCTTTTTCTTCCTTTTTTATTAAGCTCGATTCACGCCCGTGTGTCAGGGTGCAGAAATTGTGCAGCTAATACTAGACCATGGAAAACTTCAGCAGCCAGACGTCATTTCACGATTGTCACTCAACAACCCAAAAAGTCGGGATATTTTTTCTGATTTGTGACCGTTGCTAATGACACACCCAGGTTCAAGCCTATACTCGCAGACATTACACAAGCTCATATCCGGCGCATATCTTAAGCCATCCACATTACTCTCACATCACTCACCTAGGGACAAACGTATCAAATACGAAGCAGAAGAGAAAGCTAAAATAACAGGTTTTCCGACAGCGAAGGAGTTGCGAGAGGCTCAAGAGACCGCGGAAGCACGGCTGAAACGGGAGGAGAAGGAAGCAGAGAGTGTGAGCTCGGTGAGTTGAGTTCAACGATCAGCGTACTAGTCAGCTGCTTCAATTCAAATATCTAGGATGGTGTCTACTTTCGGGTGAATTTTGACAAATTCAATACCCATATCCGTAACAAGGTTAGTCCCATGAATACCTGTTTCATGATCTTAGCTACTGATGTTATTTGCCAGCTCATCGAGATGGCTGCAGGAGAGCGTTTTAATCGAAGTGCTGCTCTTGTCATACAGGCCACACTAAAAGCGACTGAAGCCAGACAAAAGAGTGTATCCGATGCAAGATCAGGTAAGATACACTGTAACACGCGTTTTTCATGCGACTACTTAAAGCGAAATAGATCCTACATCAACTGCTGCAATTGCCATGCTCATTTCTGATGACGAAGGCCTTTCGGCAGGTATCGTCACGTCAATCAAAAAAGCGTCTAGTGCTTCACTAGTCAAGGATTATCTCGGTCTAATGTCCGCCATAGACAATCCAACGCCAGCTGGTAAAGCGGCGTCATTTATAAGTCTAACTGAAAACAAAGTATATGTCGAGTTTGAAATAGTTAGCAAACGCCTACGAAGGCGCGTGCTGGAAGCAGTAGCTCGGGAACGACACGGGGACGATGGCGTAAGGATAGTGCGTCTACTCCTCGATATTGGAAAGATGGACGAGAAGCAGGTGCCTTCCTTGTCGGCCTCGTAGTGACATGTCTCTAACACCGAACAGATTGCGAAGGTGGCTATGATGCCAAACAACGTCGTTCGGCCACTTCTTGCGGCACTGTCCTCCGACTTTTTGATTTCAACTCAAGAGGTACCCAGAAGTGCTGATCGTAACCCCACACGGACATTTTATCTATGGTACTCGGTGTTTCTAATTTGTCAGGATCGTCGACTTATCCCGATACCCAGGCACGTTGATCTACACAAGGCATATTCTGCACTGTTGGGACACCTGTACAAGACGCTGTATAACATAGGGATGCGGCGACAAGCAGAACAAGAGGAGCCGACTGTGAAAGCGGTACTAGCAAAGCGAGCGCGGACGGATGTGGCTCAGGATGAAAATTTATTGTCGCGGATGGAGAGAGACGTGCTTAAGGAATGGGAGACGAAACGGGAGAAGCTCACTGTACTGGAGATGAGGGTAGAAGAAGCCGTATTTATTCTTAGGGATCTTGACAAGGTTGGAAGTTATGAGGACATTTGAATATAAAGTTGCTCACATACAGACACGGGAGTCGTCAGTCATTTTTTAATCTTGATACCTAATTTATTTTTTAAATTTGATTTCGGCTTCTTCACTGGCGGTGGACCAAGAGATTTGACATCTCGCACTACTCGCGTCGATTCTGGAAGGAGACTGCGTAAATCGGGCTCGACATCATCGGCCTTTCGCTTGATAGTGACCAGTTGTGGCGGGGTAGCCTCCGTAGGTGAATCTCCAGAACTGTCCGCCACCGCCGCCGAAGAGCCGCCCGGAAGTGCGGGCATCGACACCTTCGAAAACACTTCCCTCACCAGCCTCTCATCCTCTTCTTCTGCTAATCTTCTCTCCCTTTCTTCTTCCGTTTCTTCTTCCGCAGTAATCCGGGAAACCAGATCCGACGCTTGCCCCACACGCTCATTCCGAGCGTTTCGTGCTCTAATGTCCTGGAGGGCGTCTAGGATATCCATTTCCCGTTTTGCGTCGACGGTGCGGTTCTCTAGGGCTTTCATAGGATTGTTCTCCTCTTCCTCCAGCCGAGCAAGACGGTCCTCCTCTTCGACAACTTTCTCTTCTCGCCATGGTTCAAAGTTTCTCGATGCACCATGCTCTGCAGAATAATCGGTATTCTTGGGATCAGTCTTGAAGGTAATCTCGGCGGAACATAGTGTACTAGGGTGGCTCTCAGTAAACGCTAAAATAGTCAACGACGCAATGACGCACCACTTGATGTAAAACCGAAATATCTTAATTCCATAATAATCCTCCCCATCCACTGTTTCCTTGCGAGCGTTGAATTTCTTGCCCTTGTAAATGTATTCTCCGCATGTATTACATCGCCTGTGTCCATAGTAAGATAGATATTATGGTACAGAAAATTGAATGCTTACATGGAGAACGGAGCCATAAGACGAACAACCTGCTGTGAGTTCTTTGGACCCCTCCTTCGAGGGATCAAGGACGGGTCAAAGTCCGGGGGGAAGTACTTGTTCAACACTAACACAAAAATCATTTCATGATTTGACTTGAGGCTGAGTTCTTACCTTTACGTTCAGACATGGTGGCCGATTAAAAGAGTGTTAGGATTGTTGCGTTGAGCTTGTGTTGTGAACTTGAATGACTAGACCACTTGATTACCTAACAAGAAATTTCTTTAGCGCGCGCTTTCCTGCTTGCTCACCTGCAGCGTCGTCCGCCAGTTCATTCTGTCAATCGCCGCTCACGACCACCATGCAGGTCCAGTTAAATAAACAGCTAATCAGTTCTCGTCTAAAAAATGTCTATGATGGTTGGAGGGTACGCTTTCAGTTTTTGGTGCAGGTTGGGTTGCTAATGAGCGTTGTGTCATTTTTAGAATGCGAGTCAAAATGACGAGTACGGCTCCATAGCAGATGCGGAAGCCCTCTTGTTGCTGTCAGGAGACCCCGCCGGAGAGGATGAACCCGTGAGGAAAGGGACTGCCTTTCAGGTGAGCTTCATTGGAACTTCATGAATCACGTCTCTGCTGTGTGGCTTACGCGCCAATTCGTGTAGACTTGGCTGCTTGGTTATGAGTTTCCCTCCACCTTACTCCTCTTCCAGAAGGACAAGCTCCTGATATTATGCTCGGCTAGCAAAGGTATGTATTATATCGTCCGATGCGCGACGATCTGACATTTTCAACGCGACACGTGGGTTTGCAGCCAAGTTCTTGCACCAAATAAAAGAAGGGAATCCTCCTGTTCCAGTCGAGATACTTGTGCAAGCAAAGGCGAAGGAACCACCTAGCGGTGCACTGCCAAAATTCGTGGAGGCTTTCACATCTTTCAAACGCGTCGGGAGCTTGGTGAAGGAAGTGTGCACAGGGAAGTTGATGACGGAGTGGGAGCAGGGCGTCTCAAAAGCTGACAACAAACCCGAATTGGTCGATATGGCCCCTGCGTTGTCAGCATTCATGGCCGTTAAGGACGAAGAAGAAATGGTGTGTTCACGCGTTATATCTTGGGGCCAACGGTCTTCTAATGCACAGTGCAGAAATGCATCCGTACGGCGGCTAATCTCACTTCTACCTTGCTCGTTCACCACATCGTGTTGAAACTGGAGATGATATTGGACAAGGAAGCCAAGATAACTCATGAACAATTTGCTACTCAGATAGAGGCGCGACTTGGGTCGGGTGAAGGTGAAGTTGCCAAAGGACCTGATATGAAGGTGTGGAGTAAAGGGCGGGGCCTCAATGATGTGCGTCAACTGCTCTTCCAGACTCGCTCATACATCTCATGGGTCATTCCAGGTTGACTGGGCATCGACGGAGTTCTGCTACTCTCCCATCATTCAGTCGCGGTCAACAACCACTGGTTATGATTTGCGATCGACTGCGGAATCATCTTCGGACACTATCGCACACAAAGGCGTCTTCCTAATTGCCGTTGGTATGCGATACAAGGGTTACTGTGCCAATCTTGGGCGCAGTATTATTGTTGACCCCTCGAAGGTCAGTGTTAGCGACGTCCTTTTCTCACTGGTCTCATTCAGCCTCGCAGGAACAAGAAGCCATCTACAACTTACTGTTGTCGATGCAGAGCGAGATGCTGAAGGAAATCAAGGATGGTGTCAGCGCACGTGAAGTGTATCAACGGGCATTGGACATCGTGAAAAAGGAAAAGCCAGAGCTTGAGAAGAACTTTGTCAAGAATGCTGGGTTTGGAGTGCGTAATCCTCTATCAAAAAGTGCCCATAAGTCTCAAACTCGTTCAGACCGGCGTTGAGTTCCGTGATTCCGCGTATTTGCTTTCTTCTAAAAACTCCAAGCGCCTGAAGACGGATATGGTTTTAAACCTGTCTCTTGGCTTCTCCGACTTGCTTGATGACAACGGCAAGAAGTATATGACATTCCTTTGATCCACGGCAGTCTCGTTCATACTTTCATTTCAGATACGCCCTCCATATAGTTGATACTATTCGCGTTGGCGCTGACAGATCAACTCTTTTGACTGAAGGCGCCAAATCCACCAAAGACACGCTCTTCTTCCTGAATCCCGAAAATGAAATTGAGGTGGAAGAAGATAAGCCGTCCAAACCCAGTAAGAAGGCTCCTGTGAAGCCTCTGGTAAACGGTTCCCCCGTCAAGAACAAGACAGTTGGTGGAAAGGTGTTGCGAAACAAGACGCGTAGCGCTGCCCAGGAGGAAGTTTTGATGACTGCAGCAGCCAAGATCAAGGAACATCAGCAACAGCTGCATGAAGGTCTCCAGTCTGCTGGATTGGCGAAGTACTCTGAAGGTGCTAGCGGTGGCGGTGAAAAGGAGGGTAAAACCTGGAAGCGTTTCCAAAGTTATAAGGGTGAAAGCACACTGCCACGAGAAGTTGAAAGTCTTCGAGTAAGTGCATCAACTTCTATATGGAACTTCTTATACTAAAACAATACCACTCAGATCTGCGTAGACCGCAAAGCTCAAACGATTGTGTTGCCCGTGCACGGATTCGCTGTACCTTTCCACATCAACACTATCAAGAATGTGAGCAAAAATGATGAAGGGGATTACACGTATCTCCGCATCAACTTCCAGACTCCTGGTCAGCTCGCCGGGAAGAAAGATGACACGGTAAGTATGGCTTCAGAGTTACGAGTGTCCTCGAGTTTTTGAAGGTATTGCCAAATAGCCTTTTGAAGACCCTGACTCTACTTTCATTCGTTCGGTCACCTATCGGTCAAGTGATGGCCATCGCTTCGATACTATTTCCAAACAAATCACAGACCTAAAGAAAGAAGTCAACAAGCGCGAGCAGCAGAAGAAGGAAATGGCTGACGTTATCGAGCAAGATGTCCTGCTCGAAATCAAAGGTAGACGTGCGCACAAGCTTCCTGAAGTGTTCGTCCGCCCCGCCCTTGATGGTAAACGATTACCCGGTGAGGTCGAGATCCACCAGAACGGTCTGCGCTACCAGTCTCCGATGGGCTCTCAGAAAATTGGTATGATGTCCCGTTTCTTGTTGTTGGTTATTGTTAACTCGTGTGCTCCTTAGATGTTTTGTTCACTAACATCAAGCACCTCTTCTTCCAGCCTTGTGACAAGGAACTTATGGTCATTGTTCACATTCATTTGAGAGCACCTATCATGATTGGGAAAAAGAAAGCACATGTATGTTGTTCCGTTTGTAGAACAATTACATTCTCTAACATATTTTTTCTACAGGATATCCAGTTCTTCCGTGAGGCTTCTGACGTTCAGTTCGATGAAACTGGCAACCGGAAGAGAAAACACAGATACGGCGATGAGGATGAAATCGAGATGGAACAACAAGAACGAAAGCGAAGACAAATGCTCAACAAAGAGTTTAAACTCTTTGCCGAGCGAGTAGCTGAGGCGGCATCGACGTCTATGGGTGAAACACTTGAAGTCGACATCCCCTTCCGTGAATTGTCGTTCGAGGGAGTGCCGTTCCGCACCAACGTCCGATTGCAGCCCACAACAGAATGTCTCGTGCATCTCATCGACCCTCCATTCCTTGTTGTCACCCTCAACGAGATCGAGATTGCTTCGCTGGAACGTGTTCAATTCTCGCTTAAACAATTCGATCTCGTACTCATCTTCAAAGATTTCACCAAAGCGCCGTTACACATCAACTCAATACCGAGTGGTCAACTTGATGATGTGAAGAATTGGCTAGAGTATGCATGTCTGTTGTGATCGGTAGAACATCGATACTGATGGAACGCGTTCGCAGCTCGGTCGACATTCCTCTCGGTGAAGGCCCAGTCAACTTGAACTGGGGCCCTATCATGAAGACTATCAATGAGAGCCCGTATGATTTCTTCCAGCAAGGCGGTTGGCGAAGTTTCCTCGGTGGGGGTGATGCCGATGTAAGTGCTTAGATGTGATCATCCGTCGTGGGGACTGAAGCATTGTTCGCAGAGCGATGCAGACGTGGGTTCGGACAGCGAATCTGAGTTTGAGGCAGATCCTGAGGAACTGCAGTCTGAGGAGAGCAGCGCTGATGCTAGCGAATATGATGGCTCAGATGCGAGCGACGACTCAGGAAGTGGTTCGGGTTATGACGATGATAGCGATGACGGTGACGACTGGGAAGAGCTAGAAAGGAAAGCTGCTAAATGTACGTATATTGACCATCGCCCTTCTTTTTTAATACTTATTTGCAAAACCAGCCGATTCAAAGCGAGCCGCCGAGGCAACGGGAACTCGCGGAGACTCCGAATCGGATGATGACCGACCTAAAAAGAAGAAGGTCGCTGCTAAACCCAAGACGAACGGCAAAAGCAAGAAGCGGTGATCCTTGATGTGGACTTATCATGATGAATATTGTATCTGCTTGGCATTTTATTTTCTGTTTGCTTTCGGTTGTACCATTATTGATTTCAAGTTGAGGTGTTGATATTTGTATATAGCGATGTCTTCGGTACTTTGATGGAGTCATTTCCCGGTCAAACTCAGTCCTCCTTATCCTCCACAGGAGTTCGGCTATTTAGTCTCGCTTCTCTGAACAATAGTACGCCTGCTATAGCTGCTCCGGGGCCAAACGCCACTGAGGATAGTACGTGCCAAAAGAAGAGAAGCACCATTTCCTTCACGCTCCGAGTGAACCAGAATGTCACAAGAAAAGTCGACCCTATCCCAAACACCATGTCCCACTGGATGACCGCAGCGACTCCTTCGGGTAAAGACAACGGACGCTTGCTCAGTGCCAACTGTGGCACCAGGACCTTCTGGAATTTTTGGAGGTCAAAGAAAAGCGGCCACGTGTAGTAGATGTGGAAGACAGCAGAAGTGACGAAGATGAGACCATACATGGCTTGGGTGATAGCATAGCCGGATTCCACGTGACGGGAAGAAGGACGAATGATGAGGTATACGAATTGGGCGAGCGCCATGATGATAGGGTAGCCTTGCCATAGTGCAGTGGATGTGAGATCTTGGAATATAACCATGCACACCGTTGGGATAATGTAGCTGGCTATCAGAGCAAAAAGTAAAGCTTCGGCACTGCCCTGAGTGATTTTTGTTGCACGGCCTTT